TTTAGTTTAGGTGAGAATTGAGGATTTTTATTCGATAAAGCAGCAACTGACATCAGTCAAAATAAGTCAAATTTCAAGGTCGCCCACGTGAATATTGGTTTCTTTAAAATTGTTGTTATCATCATAATCTCAACGCGTTTCAACTCTTTACTTCAATTGAAAACTCAAATTCAACTGTGCGCCTTATATTTTTAGCAGTGCTTTGCGAAAGTTTACTTTGTATGGTCAATAAATGAAAAATAGTGACAAAAATGATTCATTTTATTCGTTCGAAAAGAAAAATTCTCTTCTTCTTCTTCTTAGTCGTCGTCGTCGTGTTCTTTCAAAAAGAGAAAGAAAACTATGCGATGAGCAGAACTTCATTCATCATTTATGAAAGAAAGCTTGTTTTGCATTGGTGCTGTAAAAATTGTTTTTATGTTTATGGCTGTGTTCATTTATATGTTGTTATTGTTTGTATGTTCGTGCGTTGTGTTGCCACTTCTTTTCGATAGGTATCACATTTCTTTATGCAACTTTCATTGTGTAACTTCGCATCGTACATTCATTCATCCATTGTGGGATTTGAATGTGTTGTGCATTCGTATTGTAATCATGATAACAGCAGCAGCATTCGATGAGTGAATGCTGAAGCGGATTAGTGAATAGGTGACTTTTTTGTGGCATCATATCGATAATCTTTTTTAGGACGTTTAGTCATCCCATAATTTCATAATCAATCGCTCTATTTTACAGATTCGTGTTCATTGGTTTTGGCTTTGATTGTGTTGTGGAGGAATGTCCACATTTCTGAAGGTCTAATGTGGCCTGTTTCGGGCACAAGCATTTTGTGTAGCAGCAATATTAGTTAGCATTGTTTATTGTCTATCGCATATGGCAATGAACGAATCAACTATGATGAAAATCATCATTTAGTCATGGCGTTTTTCAAGGCAGTGTGTGGATGATAAGTTGATTGAATCCAAATTGGAGTGATGGGCTGAATCAAGCCCGATCAATTGAATCTGCATCGGCTCATAATCGATCAATTTGTGTTTTATTAAAAGTTCACTGAACTGGGTGGAATATTGCTGTTTTAAAATTTTTGAGCAGCATGAGAAGGGAGAGCTCATTGATGAGGTGGACAAGGGTAGCTAGCTGGTGAGTTCGGTTAGGTCTATGAACCTTATGCAGTCCAAGTTTGCTTCTTTGATGTATGAGAATAATTGGTTCAATCAAGAATGTTGTGGTTAATACGTCTGCCTTAATGTGTGTCTGTCCAAAATGATGCGAAATAATTTTTGGATGAAGAGTAAGTGGTTGTCATGTGGTTATTTTGAAAGTGATAGAGTGAATGATTGTAGCCTGTCAAAGTTGCTAGCTAGCTTGAGAATGAAGCATTTTTATGAGGGAATGGGCGTCGGTTCAGTTGCAGAACACGGAATACTGAACAATAATCATTTATTTCAGCACGTAAACTCAAGCTTTACACAGAATAATACCAAATTTGACCCAAAGGAATTTGAAGAAAGGCAAGTTTTGAGAAGAGATAACATTGCTTTTTTTTGCCGTAGTGTTTCTTTTCATAGCAACGAAAACCGTAATTCAATATTTCGTTCATTTTTGTTGAAGTTGGAACAATGAAACGGAAATAAGTGTATTTCACGATTGATTTTGTGGTGGATGCGGTGTGAGCTGGTAAGGATTATATTTCCGGGGCGTATCCTGCTGGTATTCCGTTCTTCTTGATGAATTCAGGTGTATAGAGCACAGTTGAAGTGTTACTCAGTGCTAGAGAATAGTGTGATTGTTGTGACTTTTGGGTCAATGCTAGTAAAGCTAACTTCTCATTGCAAAAATCATCATCACTATCAGTTATTATATTTTTGTTTGATTACTCGTTTTGTTCTCCAAAGCATAACTTATACGGGCCTGTTAAAATTTCAAAAAGTACGCATTAAATTAATCCATATTTCATCATCGTCAAGCATCGCACATCGATGAGTTTATGGTAAATTTAAGTTGCGATTGACTGCGTGAGTTAGTTGTGTTTATTCAACTCTGAGAGTACTCGAAATTGTTTCCTTCCGGTCGTTAGTGTTGTGCGAGTGAGTGACTGTTTGATCGTTTCCGTGCCAATCGACGACGAAGGCAACAAAGGAGTAATCGTAGTAGTGAGTTTTGAGAAGTAATTCAGTTGTGTTTATGCGAACATGCACGCAGTAGCCATTACTTATCTTTTTATTCGTTTGTTTGGTGGTAATCTCAAAATTTTGTTTGTTAGAGTAAATGCGATGGGATTGGACTGAATGAATGAAATGAAATGCGCTCGGGAGTGCAGAAACGATTAGAAAATCGAAAAGAATAGAACAGATGGAAAAAATGTATAAATTTGCGTACTTTTTTTAATTGACTCCACTGAATGAATAATATAAATAGTTTTTGAATAGCACAACAACAACAATGTGAAAGCTGCTGTCTCTGTCTCTTATAAAGGATTAATATTTGCAAGAAAGTCACGATTTGTCGATAAAGTAACAATTATATCCATTCATTCATTCATCGTATCCAGCAAGAAATCGTTGCACAATGAAGTCTGTCATTTTAAGTTGAATGTATGAACAATTTTTTCAACCGTTAGCATTATTCAGCCAGCAAGCGATAACAATTTATATGATCTTTTTGTGACGATGACTTACTTCATTCTGCTGCAATAATGAAGAACAATCTAAGAGTGCATCTAGTTCAATTGTTATGAGTGATTATATGTTGTGTTTGTAAGTTTGCTTCGTTCGCTAACTGCCCAAAAATTTGTGTTAATTTTTATGATTCCTTCTAGAACATTTATTTTATTTCATTCGTTCACGATTTTTATTTTATTTCGCTGTTCAATGTAACTTTTCGTTTGTTTTTGAAATGCATTGTTGATTTTATTCGTTGTAAGTTGTTCATATGATCGTTTCAGAATCAGCATATCTCTATCGTTTCAAGCATGAATAATCTGTACACTCGTTTCATTTAGGATGCTTTGTGTTCAGTGAATTCTGTAAGGTATTTCACTTTATTCCGAATCAGTTATTTAAATGTTTGTTAAATTTATTTGAATATCAGTCAGTTTATTTGTTTAAATGACTTTTCATTGATAATTTTGCAACACATTTTGAATTCATTACTCATATTTCAGATGCTGAATAGGCCGTTCGCAGGATGTTGCTTACATTTTAGCCCAACGGTAATCGTGTTTTGACTACACTAACCGACATCTTTTTCTTATTGAATGAAATTATTGTCCTGTTTGCCACCACCATTCCTCACAGCGGTACAAAGTTGCCGTAAAACGAGAGAATATTGTCCATTCCGCCTGACACTACGTCTCAACCTCTGAAATGTCGAGCAGGTGAGCAAAGTCTCAGGTGTTGTGGCCATATTCCCAAATATTCCTTCTGCATCCAATTCCCATACTCAATCCCCGTTCATCCTTGCCACACTCCATCTCAAAATTATCCATCTTTCCATGCGATCGACCGATCATCACTGTTTCATGCGAACGATGGATAATTGTGGTCTTGAATAGATTTACAGTCAGAATTGTTATGTTCAAGAGGAAATTTTGCTTGACGATCATCTTACTAAAAGCGATTCTTTCCAATGCAGATCGATAGAAACTCTATTGTATAATCCTTGGCGACTTTGTTCAAAATCTCAAAGAAGGAAAACATAGTTGCCTCGTTTGCAGCTTGCTGCTGTGCTGGTCTTGAAGGATGATAAAGATGTGTTATAAATAACATATTGTATGTTATATTGATGTACTTGTTTGATCGTCACCGACTGTCATTATTTTATAAATTCGATTCGATAATCCGTCATTTTAATTGCCATATTGAATCAATTCATTCTTAATATTCAAGTATAAGACGTTACAAATTGAATAATAACGCCGCAGTGATGCTTTCGTTGATTCATAATCAATAAAATTGAATTACCTACCCACATCCAGCAGTCGAACATAACATTAATTAAATTATTGCGTTGATGTTATTGTCATTTAATTTTCGTTGCATCATGCGTTTTTCGTTAATGATTTATCGATTCTGTGTGTGTGTGTCTGTGAGAAAGAAAGTCTCCTCTGCATGGAAACAACTTCAACAACTATTATAAATGAACCTATCGTTTCATTAAGTTTGTTGATAGCGATTAGATGGTGGTGATCGAGTAAATCTGAATTATTGATAAATTGAATAAAACACTCATCAATTTTGTGTCCTCTTACATTTTCGCGCTGTCACACTGTCATGATAAAGTAGGAGAAGAAAATTACTCGAAATCAAGAATAGAGAAAAAGATTTTTTCTGAAAAGGACACCGTAAATCGACAGTGCATGTCTTGCGGACAAATAAAGAAGTGCTCAAAGTGAATTGGAATNCATCAAAGCCTTTCATTTGTCGACTACAACGATGTACTGGATGAAATTGTTGCTTTTAAAAGGCAAAAATGAAATGAAAATTATTTATTTGAGAAATACCAAATGATCAACATCGGATAGTGAAAATTATACAAAAGTACTCGTAAGCAATAAACATTGGACACATTAAAGGTTTTGAATTATTGGACATTTAAATACACATCAAAAGTTACTGTATCGAAATAATACTGTGAGAAATAGTGATGAAACGAATATCAGAGGGAAAGGCTATTGCAGGAACAAGTAAGATTGGTAACACGCCGCCCGTAAAAACCGAACATGTATCGATCGCTATTGAATGAGTTTTTCGAAAGAATGCATGGTGCTCAAATAAATCATAACCATGAATTTTTGTTGGTTATAGCAAAGGGTTATCCTTCAAATTCCACTGAAAATAATTCAAGACGAGATTAGATGTATCTCTATTCCAATTAGGGTGGCAGCAAGTGCAAGAAATGAACTAGAAGAAATGTAAAAGGGACGAATATGATTGGGAAGTAAAGCAACAGCAACAGACGAATGTCAGAGGGAAGCGGTAGAAGAGCACTGAGTGATGCGTTCACTCCTTTTTCGATTCATCTGGTTTGGGAGCATCTGCTGACTTGTGGGCAGGTTGACGAGGTGCGGCTTGAATTGGAATTGAGCGAGCTGCTGGTAACTGTTGGTTTTGCTTGGGTGCAGTGACTGAGAGGATGCCTTTATCGCTGATGTGCGAAACGATCGCGTCCAGATGTGTGTCTTTTGGGATGATGTATTTGCGGACGAAGTGTCTCTCGATCGAGCCGTGCGCATCGTTGCGTTCCTCATGATGACCCTCCACAACCAACTCGTTCTCACGAACGTTCACACTCAACTCTTCTGGATGAAACTGTGACACGTCCATCTCCACCGCGAACTTGTCCTTATCGTCTACCACCTGAAAACTTAATCAACCACTAGCTTATGAAGATTTACTCTGAGCCACAACACTCGTTCTATACCTATCCTCTAGGCTCACTGTATTTACAACTGAACAAATTCACAAAATCTTCAGATTGAAACGAAGCTACTTCTAGACAGATACTTCTCCTCTTGGTTCATCGTTATAGGTGGTAGAAATTTCGGCACTGTGGTCACTGAAATGCTGTCAGAGCGCTAAAAATGAGCGAAAACTTTAATGGCTTGTTTGAATGCGTAAAATCTTCAATGGAAGTAAAGAATTTTGTAGCAAGAGCGAAACATACGCGTCCAACAGTATTGCCAATATTGCATTCGTGCAACTGGGGTTGTTCAAGCCAGTACGGTGCAACGCTTCGATAGGGACGACTCATATCACGCATCATATCCTCGAACATGTTACTGAATGCGCGTTCGAATGTCGGCGGCACAATCGCGTAACGTTCCCTTCTGACCGGATCAATCCACCACGATGAAGACATCGTTGTTAGCTGTTCACTGTTTGAGTGTGACACCAAAGTCTAACTTCTGCAATGCCATCAAATAATCTCTTCCTTCTAGTTCTAATTTACGTTTCCATACAAAATAAATTCGAATCACAAAATCGTCATTCCGGTCTGGTCACGCTTTAGTCCTTCAACCTATGAAACAATGCAGAGATAAGGCACGGCAAAAACTGAGCTAAATCCCAAACGTTGACTGCCTAAATATTAGAATACCCAACTAGGATCACCAGAATCAAACTGACGGGTCTATAGTTGGAATCAACGCCTTTTTGAGTTGCTATTTCAGTAAAAAGATCCATTTTCGAAAAGTTAACGCCACAATCAAATGGACATTCGTGACCATGAAAATTTTGGAGAATATCTAGCAAATGTATAACATCTTCATTGCGAAATAAGGCAATTTTACGACATCCTGTTAAAACTATCGTTCAATAATAGGCTTTATTTAAAACACTGTACAACACCTTGCAAAAAATACAGTCAATCAAACGAAATCACCTTAATTTATACCTAATCTATCGAATAAACCAAAAAAAAGCAATTTGTTCAAGTTGAACAGTACTGCGAAGAACGGAAGGGAGGATAACGCAGGCAGGAGTAGAGCGATTGAATGTTGTGAAGCCGTACACTTCACCAGTGCTTTTATTCACTTCTCATCGACGTTTCTACAAATTTCGCGAAGCTTCTCAACGTTTTCGAATTTCTTTTCCTCCCTATGCCCTCATCCATTTCCAACTGTCGTCAGCAATATATCTGCTGTATGCAGTCGTATTTGTTTCCATCTACTGCTGGCATGTTTTTTAGCACTTTTCGCACAGTAAGCCGATTATGAACGACTCCAATTTCCAACTGCTCTCTCGCTATAATCACCTTTTCAAATCACAATAAAAATACCAGGAACAACGCCTCTCAGCGCTAAACTTATCAACAAAAATCAGCGATGCAAAACAAAAGCAACGCAATTGATGATAACGATTTCGAAAGTCCTGTGTCTGTGTGTGTGTGTGTAAAACGCATTCACGTTATTTCGCAATCGAACATTCGAAAAATATGGCCAAGAAAGCTGACTGATGAACAAATGGAATGAATTTACACCTGTGCAAATTCAATTCATCATAAGTGCAAATGACTCAACTCATCAACACGGTTATATCACACATCAGCACAAACAAAACTAAACTTTTTTCCAGCAGATTTTTCCCGATCACTCAGCAGGTACGTACGTACTTGACTACCTCTCAGGTTTTCAGTTCCAATAATTTATTTCTTCCAGGCAAATTATTTGTAATCAATTTCTGCCCACTACTAGAATATTCCTCCTCTCAGACGTATCCTTCTGAATATTAAAAAAAACTTTGCGATGACGATTCACTAATAAGTAGTGGGATTGTTCACTTCGAAAGGATGAGAATATGTTCGAAGGATAACATCGATCACAATTTCTTCAAATATAAAGTATTCCGTAATGTCACGAATACATGCATCTGACAGTTTGAAACGAAGATATAAGAAGGGTTTGAAATGCCTAATTTCGGCGAAGATACACGTGAAAGTCGCAGAATCAATTAGCAACGGAAAAAAGGAATTGATTCGGCTTAATCTGCGCAGATAAATGTGAAATCCAATGGAAAGGGTGGACTTAGGAGGAAATTTTGTAGAATCTGTTGAAAAACGTGATGTAATTAGATAGGTTGACTTGCCAAATCGCTCTTTTCGTTGCATTTGCACTGAAAAGCTAACTGAACTGAAAATGAAAGGTTGAGAAATAGATACAATACAGATTCTTCAGAGAATCATGAATGAGAGCGAATCAATGATGCGGCAGAAGTGAATGAGAAAACTATCACCACACAGTGGGATTGTAATGCAGTAAGTTATCATAGGAATGAGAGTGATGAGAGAGCATGGAAAATAGACATAGGATTCATGCATAGACTGTTGAAGGAGGGCTGTGCAAGGGAGTATGAAGTGCGTGCATGCCTTCTGAATAGTCACTTGCAGCAGAATCCATTCTCCTACACTCTCCTCGCCCCTCACATTCCATCATCAGTTTTCACGTCAAACGTTCACGATGTCTCATCACTCTCATTCCTGAACTTACCGACTGCATTACAGTTCCACNGTGCAGTGGTGCTCTTCTTATTCACTGCAGACGTATCACTGATTCACTCTCATTCATATTTATCTTCTGAATCTTCACTCTATTCACTTCTTCACCTCACCTCCTCGTTACGTTCGGATCTACAGCAGAACTGATACGTGCAGAACGAGTTGCCACACCGCGAAACGACTGCTAAGGTGCAAGAAATTCATCGCTTAAATTAAGCTGAGAGTGAGACCTTATGTAACCTGGGCTTATTGATGGAATCTTCACTGTTCCTCTTCAGCTACAACGAGGGATTAGGAAGAACTAGCCTACAAGAACTAGCTTGTTAGATATAAGCCACAGCTGTGCTCCAAATCACATCTATGCTAACAGTTACCCTTTCACGAACACATTTTTCTACCATTAGACTATAACAACACCATTTTGCTAGTAATAATTACGATAAGGGAGTCCAGAGTCAAGCAACACATTTCATCGAACTCGAAATTAAATAGAGTTCTTCAAGAATGCTGTTCAGACTGCCAAAAAAAGATCAAAAACGTAAAACGACTCCTTTCGTAAAACCAATTTCGCAGGAGAGTGTGACCAAGAATGCCCCAACTTCATAAAAATCATCTGCATATTGACGTATTCATAAGCCGAGCTTCCACTGCATAAACGTTCGACGCAACATATGAGCAATATAATTTCAGTGAGCTTTAAGGAGTCTCGAATAAATTCAGCACTTTGGTCTGAATTGTTAGAAAAGTGCAAAAAATGAACTATAATTGCGGATATGTCCGTGTCAAAATCGCCTATTGGCTTAGTTTAATCAGCTGCTATTTCACTGTCTTTCTATCTCGAAACAGTTCTGATCATTGCAATTTGCATTTTGATCGCTTTAAACCACGCTCTCTCAATATTTTTCTCCTCCAACTGACGAGCATTTTCAGCAAGTTGAGAACCACTGCTACAGAGCTAACATGAGCACCATTTCCAAACTAGCTGTATCTTCACAATCAGATTTGCCCAGCAAGTCGGGAGTTCTTTTCAGAATCGATTTCAGGACATACTTTTGTTTTAGAAAAGTATATCTCGATATCGTCGGATTGAATATCTGTCAAACAATTTCAGCGATTCTATAATACCGCTAATATGTGCACATTTGATCTTTGTGGTGTGATCAATGATAAAGTTCTATAGGAATATCACGAGTACCATTTTCAAACTACCTTCATTCCGAGTTCTTATCAAAATGGACTTCAGGAAATTCTCTAGTTTCAGAGAAGTATAGATCAGTCATTGTGAGGTTATGTAGCTATTGCTTTCTTGTAACATTGTTTTCTTCTAGATGACCATTTTTTATGTTTTAAACATTTGTTGGTAAAAATTCTTTCGGTACGAACGGCGGTACAATTTATGGGGATCACTGTGAAAAGATTAAAAGAATGTCGAAGTGAGTGAGACAATAACTGAAGATTTGAACGAAGGTTGAGAAGTAACCTGGAAATATAACACTTGAAAAGTATGAAAATTGATGTTAGAACTTGAGAAGAAGTGTGGTCAAAGGAGTGAGAATCTGGAAGACGCTACTAATGAATTCTCCATTCCGTAAGAATTTTCGCAGAAATTTCCCGATTTTATGATGTAGTCTTGATCAGAATGTATTTTTTTCTTCAGAACTATCAGTCGCAATCGTTCCTTTAGAATCACGAATGAAACTGTGAATTGTAGATGGCTAGAAGATTATGATTTTACATCATTTGCCGAATTATTTCTAATCAGCAAATCTCGATACTGCTTGAGTTTTCGCATTTGTTTGTTTGATGACAACTGTCGTTAAAGGATAATAGATTTGAATTAGTGTATCAAATGTTTTAATCAAATATACAAATGCTTTTTATCCAAATATATGATTTGTGAGTAACTTTTAATCATTATTGTGTCTCTATATGCAAACCTGTTTCTGATTACACTATGTCGCGTTTCGTATCGTGAAATTTGAATGAGAGTGCTGAAGGGAATGCAGGTGTAGCCTTACTGTTAGCGCATGCCTTATGGCTAGCACGGAATGTTAATAGTCGTGTGCAAATTTCTTTTTTTTCATTCGTTTGTTTGAATGTTCGCTCTACTTCCGTCGTGGGTTTCTCTGTACGGCAAACCGATACGACCAGCTGAATTGTTTGATTGTTTTGATTTTATCGTTTTATCATTTAATTTATTCTTCTCTTCCTTTTTTCCTACTCAACTACAGTTGAGGCAGTGCATTCGTCGTTGCGTTCCCATGTGAATTGTATTATTTTAGTTCTATTTTTAACGAATAACTATTGAATTGAAGCTCAACAAGGCAACTTGTGTGAATCATCCGTGAGTGAATAAATCTTTCTTTTTTTATGCCTCAGCCTGGGCATGAGCTTGTTAGAAGAGAGCATGAGATTGATCCAGATCTCAGCTGATAAGCCTGAGCCAAGCTGATCACCTCGAATTACTGCATCCGGATGAAGTATTCAGGCCATTCAGGAGGTATACTGTGGATATGATTCATTATTTTTGGATCGATTCCAGCCGTTTCCATTCGTTCTTCGTTCACACTGTAACGAAAAAAAACATGGCGCGTACCTCTTCAATAATTCAATCGTGTTTTCGTATTTGATTTGTCGAGTTTTGAAAATTGAAGGCGATTGTTGAAGTAATAAACCAATTTTGCTGTTCTTATTTCCCTAGCTAGGATAATATGCGTGAAGTAGAATTTGGATCAGTTTATGACCGATTGAACTTGATGACTTTGTAGTTTAGCTTTCTGGCATCAGAACGACCGGCCAGCATTCTGTTCGCACGTATTCGCGAGTGGATTGTGCTAAAGTGCTCGACCATACACACACCAAATACTCTGAAACTATGTACGAACGAAATGCGTCGTTCTGTTCATTTAATTAGTGTGCGCTATACAATAATCCAGAGCTTCTGTGCCCTTATCGTTGAATCTCGATTCCTTTCAGCAGTTTTCGGCGTAACTTACGAAATATAATGATAATTTTATGATCGTTTATGTGTCTGTAATCTCTGGCCAGTCGCTGCCAAGCTTTTGCGATTGAAATGTTGTGTGTTGGGCGACTGAAATTGAATGTTTTTGCAGAGGTGTAAAATCAACTGAAACTTGAACCAATTAATTGGTGAGTGATGTCCACTACATCACTGAAACATCGTGAATTCATTTCTGAGCCAATGGGTGAAAAGGAAGTGACCGCAGTGGCTGGGATTGGTCCAGCATATGGTGAAAAGCTTACCAAAGCAGGCTTTGATAAGGTGACTTTCCGTAGCATCGTCTCTGGTCTGATTTTTCGCCATCTAAATCTGGTTTTTTGAAGTGATATTGCTTTTCTTCTTATTTAAAAACCCTTACCTTCAACAGCTTCTTAAATCATTTTGCAGTAACCTTGATTATGATGGTTTTCGATTGTATGTTTGCAATCTCTTGAGGAGTTTCCCATCACGAATTTGCCGTTATTCATTCAATTGACAAAATTTACTTTCAGGCATATGTACTGTTTGGACAGTTTCTGCTTTTGAAGAAGGACAAAGAACTTTTCATCGATTGGCTGAGGGTTTGCTTTGAATGCATTTCTTTTTTTCGTTTAGTGTTGTTTTTAATTCACTCTGGGATTGTTAAGGTGGCTAACATAAGCCGTCTTTAAGAACTCAAGAAGTTAGAGAAAATGAGAACGGGTTAGGTGGTGGGTAAATGGTGATATTACTGAATAGTTTCTCGTTTTATTAATCAGTGTCCATTCAGTCTAATCCTTATCCGTTCATCTTTCAGGAGGTGGCTAGTGTATCATCACACCATGCAACATCCGCCTACAATTGTTTCAAGGAATGGAGTGAGCAGTTCATTTGAACGATTCATATTATGCACCGTCATGTAATTCATAAAAACTATTTGGGAATTGACATTAATTTGTAGTCTCAAGATTCGATCTTCTTCAAATTTCTTTATGAACTTCCGTAGGTGAGCGTTCTTCATGATAAGATCATTGAAAGTCTTGAAGAAGTCGAATCATTTGTGGATCGGTAATAAATTATAACGGTTATTCATTTTGTTCTCATATCATTACGTTGTCCTCATTCGTGTATTGTATTGTTTTGAATCGTCGTTATTGTAGTTGATTGCCTCCGTAAAGTTCCTTAAATGTCATCAAATTTTATGAATCACTCACAGGAAATCTTTCTTTTGTGAATAATTTGCTCGAATTCCTCATCTTTCTCAATGCAGTCTCAATCTTTAACCATTGTTCCTTTTATTGAGCATATATTCTCATCTTGTATATTCGTTTAGCCCTCTAATCAATGGAAACTGAAGAAAAAGAGAAGCGGAATCATTCGTAGTCCTTCAAATCTGTGCCATGGTATTCAGCAACTCGTCGAAATTATCTTTTAACGTAAAGTAACTTACTAACGTATGAAAATGGAAAAAAAACTGAGCGACACTTACTCGCAATAAATAGCATGCGTTAAGTTGATTCAGCATAGCAATTTTTCATTTATGAGGCTGTTCTCGCAATAGTATGTCTAGTGATATCATATCACCTCTTGAGCGAGAGCGGACATGCACAGTTCTGATTATTTATGGGATTTTTATATTTATCTGAATGCCTACAATGCTGTTCTTTCAGTGTGCTTTGTTTCGTTCGGTTCCATTTGTCACTGGTTTAAATGGTCCTTCCTTAGGTACCGTCTATTCTCTATTTCATATTTTTGCTTCATCGAACACACTTCCTTTGGTCATCTTAAATTTGCTGCATTAGATGGACTCGATCGAACGATTACTTATTTCCTTCACTTCAACAATGTTGTATTTTACTATATTTTTACGAATAAACTCATCGAAACAATTTACTTCATACAAATGCGAAAAAAATGTTATTGGAATTGCGTTAGTGATGTAGGGAAATTTCGTTGGTACTATTTCATACCACTGATCATTGTGGTATGAAACGGGTTAGCCGGTTACGCGTTACGCAAACCAATAACTGAGGTATTGTGGGCAAGAATGATTTCTTAACACTGCAATATTAAGAGAACATGGTAAAGGGCACAATATCCAATCGAAATTATTGTGCAGTTCAATGTCAAATTAGATTTCATCAAGTAGAAGGTTGATTTATTTGATTCATGCATTTTCACCGTGAATCAATCGAGTATTCAGATAAAAGCATTTATTTGATGAATGATAAAGGCATTCAGAAGCAGATCATACTCACCTAAGGTGAGCACTGACATTTTGAGTTTTAGACTCTGACAATGGACGCAGACAACAATTTAAATATTTGCTCGTCACAACGGTTATATAACCAAATAACGAACTCGTCCATCACTCCAATTCCGACTGCGGACGGAGTCTTATTTCAAAACCGCGTTCACTACTGATATTCAGTTAGAAACAATAACAACAATGGAAAAAATTTTGCAATAAATTAACAACAAAAAGAAATTTAAAAACCTTCCAAATGAGCAAATGCAATGACTCATAGCTGCAATTTGGCATGTCGCAAATCTGAGAACGATTGAGAACAGAAAACAAGAATAACAGATAGATGCCTTCATAGCGGAGATATTGTATCGTACAAGACGTAAGAAAGAGACAGTTCAGCATTCTTTTTGCTTGCAGAGACAG